GTAAACTAACTGTAAAACAGTGCTTTGGGGAGAACAAAAGGTGTGTGGGCTTCAGGATGGGATGAATTCCGATTTTTATGTGAATACTGGTAGTTAATGCTTTACTAAAATTAGAAATAGCACTATTAAAATAGTTCTCGGTAGTGCAAAGCTTCATAAACAGGTTCTACACTTAGTTAAAGGTTTCATTCAGTAGCTGAGAATACTAGCTCATTATTATTAGAACTTTGTACTACTACTAACTGGATAGCAGCTGCAAAACGTATTTAACACTAAGACTTTGGAATTTAGTAGTAAGTAGTAAAAATATTAGTATTTAAATAATACTACCAACAACAATAGCCAAAATAGGAACAAACATTAAGGACATATATGGTTTGTACAATATACCTTCATTTAATCCTTTCAATAATCTCATCAAGTAGTTAATATCTCTAATTTAAGATAAAGAAACCCTCCAAGAAATTAGGCAACACCCAATATCACATGGTTAATTTGTGAGAGAACTAAGATTATACTCAGGGCTTTAAATTTTCAAAGTCAATGTTCTTTATGATATACCCTGCTATTAATATCAGTTTAGTAACCTGGTGTAACAGGTAAACATAATTCCATAATAGTTACAATATCAACTTAAGGTAGTACTTTCACATACAGCACCACACAGAATCTTGATATACGTAATTGATTTTTGCATAAATGAAATTACAAATTTTAATTTTGCCCATAAAGAAATGTTTTAAAATAAGACGAGGGAAAGCTAGATTTGATTCATTTTAAGTCATGGTCTACCAAAAGATTATCTTCAGCTAAGCTTCCTAAAAGTCTGAAAGTAGTATCATAAGCTAAGGCACCAAACAAATCAGAAAGACGCATCTACGTGGACCAGCTAAGGTAGGCAGGCTAACTGTACTGGACCTGGAGTATGTACAGCTATTAAAGACAGAAGAAAATGTTACTTTGTATGCTAAATGTTAAAGAGTATACAACCTGGGGTGAAGAGCCTAGGGAGCAGCCATTCCCCTAGTTAAGCCCCCCACCCCACCCCCCATGCTCAAGTAACTCAAACTTCATAAGAAAAATGGGCAACACAGAATCATCAGTCATCAGTTTAGGAAGAAAAAAAAAAGATTTTGGGGCAGCAAAGTTTAAAACTTTTCCTCCCATGCATACTTTCTCAAGAAATTACTGGAGTTGTTCTATTAAACCAAGAAAGAGAAAGAGAGATCCAGGAATCTCAGAACTAATGGTGAGTAACAGAAAATACTAGCATGATAAATGTGTGGCAGGCACAGAAAGCAACCAATTCAGACTGCAGAGCTCCATGAGAGCTGTAACCAAGTAAAAGTGGAAATGATAGCCACCTTCAGTCAGGAAAAAATGTACACTTTTAGATCAAAATGAATCAATGATAGGATACATTAAAAAACTAAGGAAATATAAAGTTATTTTTATAAACATAATTATAATTAACTTAAGGAGAAATAAAACCTTATAGAAGAAAGGAAGTATAATCATGGTATGCTGAATCTCAAGGGTGACAAATATTTACATATCCAAAAATGTACACATTAAACACTGGCAACCAATAATTGTGTCAAAGCTGTACAGGAAGGATGGGGGAAAGAACGTGTGCATAATGAGTGTGTGTGTGAGGGGATAACTGTAATCTACATCTTCATTTTCTATTAACGGAGTCCACAGATATCTAAAATTGAGGGAAAATAGCAGAATAAATATGACATATTAAAACATCAGAAGTAAAAATTTACCTCTAGGGAGTTTGAACAGGGAAAAAGGACAGTGATGTTTTTTCATTATAAACCTTGTTAATCTGACTTTTGAAGTACATAATATTTTAGTTTTAAAAATTTATTTAAATATAATTTTTTAAAATTATGATAAACTGAAGAAAAACAAAGTAAAAACTAATCCATTACAATTTCAAAGTTAAGATTAAAAATTTTATCAAAATTTTTCTTTCAAAATAAAAAGCACAATTCCTGTCCAGCTGGTGTGACTCGGTGGTTGAGCGTCAACCCATGCACCAAGAGGTCGCCGGTTTGATTCCCAGTCAAGACACAGGCCCACTATGTGGGCCCGATCCCCAGTGGGGGGCATGCAGGAGGTGGCCAGTCGATATTCTCTCTCATCAATGTTTCTCTCTCTCTCCCTCTTCCTTCCTCTTTCTCTAAAATTAATAAAGGAAAAATAAATTTTTAAAAAAAAAATAAAAAGCACAATTCCTGATAAAAGCAGTGCAATAAGGAACACAGATTCAGGACAGTAGGTCTTCTTTTGAAATGTACTCTACCAGTAGGCTTAAACTTGCTCAGTTCTATAGCATTCTGCCTCACAACTGAATTCACTGTATTCTAAAGTCGCATTCTCCATATGGTTTAACTAAAATTAAGTTATGTTCAGTAACTGTCAACTCTCAGGTTTAAGATGGCTTATCACATATCTGGATTACTCTGTATTGTATACACACACACACACACACACACACACACACACACACTTAGTAGTATTTTCTTGCCTTTCTTCTGTTCTAGCCCAACAAATCTCCAGATGTTCCCAGTGCTAGGTAGAGTATATTTTCATTGAATAGAAAATTCCTTTTCCTTTTACCAATTTCTTTCTAAAGTTTACAAAGTTCATTTTTGTTTCAGTAGATTCTGTTATTTTACTATTAGAAGAAAATAAATGCCCCAAATTATTTTTACTGAAAAATTATATATAACAAAATATTTCCAAGCTTGATAATGAATAGGTCAGTTATCTTTAGGATTTTTAGATTTTTAGATCTTTTAGTTTAATTATATATTTTGGATCTGATGAATATAAATGAACAATGCTAGCATACCCAAGTGATTGCCTTTTCTTCTCTCTGGAGGCATAATTCTCCTATGACCATTTCCTCCTTTATTCCCGTCTATGTACTCCATTTTTCATAACCAAGCTCTTACAATGTTCATGTTCAAACTAAATCTAAAAAGATATTTTGGAAGGGTAGCATTTATATCAAAGGGCATTCTTCAAGGTCACTGTCCTAACACTAAAGAGTATAAAGTTTTAGTCATTAATTTTTTTCATACACCCAGTGAATATTATTAGGTAGTTACTGGGTTGGCTACAAGACAGAATTCAAAAACAGACAATTCATATTTCTAAGCCTCAATAAACTTAAAATCTAAGAGAAAAATACCCATAGTAAAAAGAGAAAGCAAAATAACAGCAGCAACAATCAATCTAAAATCTGTTAGCATATTTCTGGCTACAGAAATAATAGGCCTACTCCAAAATAAAGGTGCCCAGGGAAAAGGCAAATCAATAAGACTCACACTAGGTCCTGATTCTACTAGTCATTTTCCCAGGGTTCTTTCAGAAGCTCTTAAGGAATAGGAAAGTGGCATAGGTATATGCAAACCTGAAAACTATTGTACATCTCCTTCTAGAGCATGAAAATAATGCTAATACTGAAATGTCTTTCTGCCACAGATAGATTAATATCTCAAGTCACTGAGTACTATGTCTGAGAACTTATAAAGACCATTTAAAGACACTATAATTTTTTAAAGCAGTAACACTTGTATAACCTATGGGGAATGTGAGGGAGCACATCAATATCTATGCAGATTAAGTAAACAGGCACAGTAAACTGTCTTCTCCAGTTAATAATGTTAGCTCACTCATGACAAAGATAATTAGAAGAAAACAAGCAGAAAATGACAAGAATATGGACTCATGTCAATAAGTGGCAAAGAGTAAACCATGGAACATGACAGTATATAGAAACATTCTTTATTACTATGCTAATTTCTAGATGACCAAATCTCAATGTTGAAAGCTGTAACATTGCCTTGATGTATCCATAAAAAATCCTGAACACCTATTTCTTTAAAAAAAAAAAAAAAAGAAACCTAGACCACAGGTGGTCTCCCACCCAAGTGGTAACCAGGATGGACACTGCTTAGCTTTGGAGATAAGACACCTTCAAGGTGGTAAGGCCTGACACGCAGGTGCTGGCTCACCTATTTCTTATTTTGGCTTTACATTCAAAAGTTTTTCTTTTGTTGTTCACCCTTGAATTTTTTAAAAATGGTAATGATGACATTACACGTGTAACTTGCCTGAGTGAGAAATAAAAGAAACAGAACCAAAGAACATGGCTGACAGTTACCTTGAATACACAGGGATGAGCAAAAGGAGCTTCCCAGTTTTGAGTATGTGTAACAGTTAAATAAAACTACTGTAATAATCAAAACCTGCATGTCTTTTTCCATACAAACAATTATAAACCTACTTTTGCACACTCCTGTATTCAACAAAACCTTTACCTTCTATCGAAGCATGATTTCTTTCAATATACTTCTCTTTTCAAAGTTTAAACTCATTTTTGCCATTTTAACCACACACAAACACAAATCCATTCATCCCAAAGTGAGATCCTACTCCATTCTAATATCCTCAACACTGATACCTGGGTAATTACTCTGAAAATATTACTACAAATATTTGTAAATGGTGAATAATAATAAATTCTGGATTGAAATCAAAGTGACAACATAAGAATAAAAGAGTAGATATTAACGATTGTAAAAAATACAAAATTAATATTTTTAAAATCCAGGAAAGTATGAGATTTTTAAGCAAAAACTAAGCATAAAAATACCTTTTCATGCATTTTTAACATTTAAATGAGAGCTATTTTCAGACATGGACTTTTATCAATAGTATCTAACAACAAAGGTGAAAAGAAACAGCTGTGCTTCTACTTCGTAAATCTGCATTTGTCTGTGTTGGCATAGACAACTGGATAACCCAATGGAAGGAACAACGTGAGGAAGACTAGACTGACTAAAGGTCAAAATAATTTTCTATTTTCTGTAACTAACACCTGATTTCTTACTTTGGCTTTAAAAGGTTTTTTTTCTTCTTCATCTTGTTCTTGTGTATATCTCTTTAATGACAGTGATGATGTTACATATGTAACTTGCCTGGGTGAGAAATGAAAGGAACAGAACCAAAAGGATCTTCTGGAGGATGGTTATGTGGTGCAGAAAGTGGGTCTACATTCTTATCTGAGGATGCTCTCTCCTCGAGCCTGTCTGTAAAAATAAGATGAAACAAAACAAAAAGTAAAATAAAATAAAAACAAAACGGTCTTTAAAATATTACATTCAGAGTTCATTTTTATAAATATTAGGGGTAGTCCTGAGTTTAATACATATTTGTTGCTACAAAGGCAAGCTTAACAATGTAATCTCAGGGCTAGATTTCACTAGATGCAATTAACCTAATAACTTGGTTTGGTTTATTTAACTACTAGTTGTCTTCAACTTGTAACATACTGGACCTACAATTAAACCCAGCTTACTAATCAGACATATTTGGCAGGCTTTCTCCATAAATCCACATGGAAAAAATATTGCAAATGGTCTCTCATTCATTGAATAAGTAAATCCTATTTCTCATTAGCAATATAAAGTAATTCACTATCTTTTATTTTATTATTTCACATATTATTTGTAGTTATTAAGCCATTCACGTACACAGGTACAAAGATACAGATATCTCTCTACTAAATTAAACATATATTTTTTTCTTTATTAATTTTAGAGAGAGAGAGAGAGAGAAACATCGATGAGAGAGAACATCAGTTGGCCGTCTCCTGGGGATTTGGCCTACAACCCAGGCATGTGCCCTGACAGGTAATCAAACCGGCGACCTTTTCATGCACGGGTCGACGTTCAACCACTGAGCCATACCAGCCAGGCTAAATTAAACATCTTAATGACACATTTTATTTATTCATCCAACAAATATTTCAGCATCTACACTGTTTGGATATAAGCAATGGGCATGCAACACAAGACGAAAATGCAATAAGCAAGTGAGAAATACATATGCAGTATGTTAAAAACAAATAAACCTATAAAGAAAAAAATGTAGTGCAGGGTAAAAGGAATTAACAGAGATACTGATTGGATGATTCTGGAAAGGGTCCTGAGATTCTATACTTCAACAAGCTCCCAGGTGATGAGATAGTACTGGTCCAGGGAGTACAACATTCTTGAGGAGGCAAAAACCTGGAGTTTACATTATCCTGAATATACTTAATTGCTGCTATGAACAACTAATTATTTAAATATCTTTATGATAATGGATATAATTACTAGCCATAAAAGCTAACTCTGCAAAATCGACATGAAACTTCAGGTTGTTTAAATTTTTACTTAAAATTTTGTTGAAGCACTAATAAATATTTTGTTAAGTAAACACATCTGACAATTGGTTTATGCACAAACAAAACTTCCAAAACTTAAGAGCTACTTTTCAAATCCAATACTGCAATGGATAACAATAAAATTTTATTTTAGGTGTTCTTTTCAAGATATTAACTGTATACTTGATTCAGAAAATCAATAACAAATGCTGATTGAACTATGAAGAAAGGTTTTTTAAAAATATATTGTTGTTTAACACCTATGAAAGAGAAGCTAGTCTCTGTATATTGCATACTGTGTCCACCACCCATATCAATGCAATATACAGATCACATATCATAGAAATCTACACTTGAGCCCAGCCAGTATGGCTCAGTGGATTGAACATTGTCCCATGGACTGTGAAGTCCCAGTCAGATTCCCCCAGTCAGGGCACATGCCCAGGTTGCACCTCAATCCCCGGGGGAGGTGTGCAGGAGGAAGCTGATCAATGTTTTGCACATCAATGTTTCCATCTCTTTCCCCTTTCCTCTCTAAAAAAACCTACACTTGAAACCTACAATTTTATTAACCGATGTCATCTCAATAAATTTAATTAAAAAAAAAGGAATATTTAAAAAATTTTGAACATTAAAAGAAGAGTAGTTTCATAGTATATTTCTGAGAAAATTAGACTGGAGAACTGTAGAATACTTTACATAACCAAGGGTCTTATTTATTGTGGTGGGAAGCCATTACCAAACCGTAGGAGAAGCCTAAGAATCACTGAATCATAGAGGGTATGTACAGTTACCAATGTTATCAGGCCCTGAGTGCATTTCTAGAACAACTTTGAAATCATAAACTGTTCTCTACATCAGAATCCTAGACTCCCCCATCCGTTCCTCATTTATCAATTCTGGTGCACAGAAGACTGAGGACAAAGGGAAAAGGGGGTGGAGAAGGACAAATGGAAAGCCTGTTTCAGAGTGATAGCCACAGCATATCACTATCCAAGAGCCCTCATTCTTGAACATCAAGACAGAGTATACAGGAATTTAGGTCATAATCAGGACCAGACTTCCTTCCTAAACCATCTGCATCAATCATAATTGCCAGAATTCCCATGTAAAAAGTAATTACCTGGGACCTACAACAGAACTAATGAATCAGAATATCTAGGTAGGGAATTTACATTTTAACATAATCTCCGGGTTTATAAACTACTATACCAATGGTTCCCAGAATATACAAATGCAAAGTTACCACTGAGGTCCTTTAAATCCTCACAAACTGGTCGGTGAATTCATGATAAATGTATAAGTAGCACTGTGTAGTTATAAGAGGACAAACATAATCATGTAGGAGTAAACTAATATTTTTATATAGGGGGTATTCATAATTACAAATATGGAGACACTGTTCAATGCAAAATTCATTTATCCAATTATTTCAAAACAAGTATCAGGATAAACTCCCTATAAAATGAATCATGGACCCTTGCCAGTTTGGCTCAGCAGTTAGAGTGTCAGCCTATGGACCGAAGGGTCTCGGGTTAGATTCCCAGACAAGGACACATACCTGGGTTGTAGGTTCAATCCCTGGCCCTGGTCAGGGGACATATGCAGGAGGCAACCAATCGATGCATCTCTCTCACATTGATCTCTCTCTCTTTCTCTCACCTCCTCCCTCTGTCCGTCCCTCCCTTCTAATCTCTCTAAAAATCAATGGAAAAAATATCCTTAGATGAGGATTCACTAAATAAATAAATAAAAATAAATAAAATGAATCATGTTCTCATCATACTACAAAACATAGAATCAATTTTTCCATGGAAGATTTTTTAAAAGTCATTTAGATTTCCAAAGTTCACATGATAATCTGGGTCCCAGGGCACAAAATACAAAATAAATACACGTATTAATATTTTTTTAAAAGATCAATTATTTTATATATAAAAATAAAATAGTATGTAAAGTTACTTTTCAAATACATAGTCACCTCTAAAATGCATTTAAGTTCCATGTCAAATAATTGGTTTTTTTTTTTACATTAGAACAAACTTTTGTTTGACTTGTCCAATATAAGAACTTACCTCTTCCTGCCTTCCCAAAAGAATTGTATTGGTAAATGAAGGCAGTATCTTTTCAAGAATTTTAATTAATACAGATGGCAAAAATACAGGATTTAAAAATCCTAGAATCAAAGTACATTCCATAATATCTAACATCAGAAAAAATTAAGTACTCTGAAATGTTAATTCAGTAGCTTATATGAATAATGGCTTGAATAGCCAAAAGGTTAATAAATAAGGTTTAAAAGTACAGTCTTCATCTGATACTTTTGAAACTGTTTTAATATATGTTAAATTTTTTGTTATTCTGCTCTGAAGGAACCCAATAAGTCTGACTTCGCTAAAAATGATGAAAGTTAATGTTTTACAACAAACTAATTATATAGACAAATGTTTATATATTTTTTTATTCTGTGGCTTCATGGGAAAAAAAAACACATTCAGCAGAATCTGCAAAACAGCCAGTCTTTAGTTTCTTTTATTCTTCCTTTTGGTTTTTTTGTTATTAATTTGTTTTTGTTACAGATGTTTCTCATTTTTCCCCCACTGACACCCTCCTCCCCTTCCTCCCGCCCCGCCCCATCCCCAGCTTTATTGTCTATGTTCATTGGTCATGCATACATGCATGTAAGTTCTGTGGTTTATCTCGTCTCCCCCAAAAACCCCTCCTCTGAGGCTTGTCAGTCTATACCCCACCTCTATGTCTCTGGTTTAATTTTGTTCAGCAGTTTGTTTAGTTTATTATATTCCACAAGTAAGTGACATCATGTGATATTTGTCTTTCTCTGCTTGGTGTGTAAATACCTGTATTCTTTTTTTATCCTCACCCGAGGACATTTTTCCATTTTTTGTTCAGATAGAGTGGGGGGGAGAGAGAGGAACAGAGAGAGAGAGAGAGAAACACATCGTGAAGGGACACATCGAGTGGCTGCCACCCGCACAACCGACCAGGGCCGGGGACAAACTGCAACCTAGGTACGCGCCCTTAGCGGGAACCGAACCCGGGTCTCTCAGGACCGCAGGCCGACGCTCTAACCGCTGAGCCAAACCGGCCAGGGCTAAATACCTGTATTCTAATTAGCATTTAATGTATTAAATATTATGATAATTCTATTACTAAAGTCTACATACTAACTGGATATTTTGGTACAACAGACAATGAAAAATATACTTAAAATTTTTAAATGTCACTGAGACCAGCTTTATTAATAATGCTTAATTTTGATTTAATATTTTGGTCTTAATTAGGAACAGGTAAAAAAAATTCTGAAGTATAAATAATAGTGTTACACTAAAAGCAAAAGCAATTAGAATCTGGTTTATTATATATGTTAAATCCCTTTGCCAACTGTTTTCTTAAAGATCACTAAAAAACAGTTTTTGTTACAATTACTAATATTTTGGAATTTTAGTATCTCAAAATCTATGTTAAAATTACCTTCTGGATAATACACATAAGTATTTCCTAGACACCATATGTTTTTTCTTTTCTCTTTTAATAAATAACCATGTATCATTTTAAAAATGAAACCTGAAATAGGAATGCATTATTGTGAACAATCATTACACAGGCAATGGTTATATCTTTAAGGACCACATGTAAAGGTATTCAGTTTCTCACCGGAAAGCATCTCATAAACCAAAACTAAATTATTTTAGAAAGAACCTTGAAAACTGGTGATAGACAACTGCCTGAGAGGGAAAAGTGATTTTGATATTTCAAATACATCAGTAATTTGTTTATTCATTTTGAGAAAGTTGTTACCTACAGAGGAACCAACCAATAATGACAAGCAATTAACTTTCATTACGTTGTTAGTTTTCTACCAAAACTCTTAAGTCTTTTGCCCACCAGCGTAATTTAAACCTGATCTATCAAACTAGATAAAATTTTAGATACATTACTGCTTGTGAGTGAAAAAGTTGCTAGGATGACTGAATATTACAGTTAAGTAAAACTTTGGGAGGAAGACTTTCTAAATTACATTCCACACATTACTGATTTCTTTATAAACTTTATTAAAGACATTTCACCTTTCTTTAACCCACTGACTATCAATTACTAAGAGAAAGACATGTTTCTGTATCTCCTTCCTTGCTGTTACCTGTCTAGTATTCTTGCACTGTGTTTACTCACAAAGTCCCTTCTATAATCTGGTTTTTTAAGTGCCGAGAAACCTGACGGTTTAAATATAAGTTTTAAATGCTGGTTAAAGGGCAATAACCTCATAAGCTGGAGCCTAAAGACTTATACAGAGGTGAGAAAGGGCAAGTGGCACTTTACTGAGTATCCAGACTCTTTAAAGAAATTATTTCATGCTCAGCTGGTATTGCTCAGTGGTTGAGCGCCAACCCATGCACCAAGAGGTCGCCAGTTTGATTCCCAGTCAAGGCACGTGTCCAGGTTGTGGGCCCGATCCTCAGTGGGGGGCATGCAGGAGGCAGCCAATCGATGTTCTCTCTCATCGATGTTTTTACTTCTCCCTCTACCTTCCTCTCTCTCTAAAATCAATAAAGAAAAAAATGTTAAAGAAATTATTTCATTTAATTTTCTTGAGAACCCTATAAGGTAACACATCACTGTAGTCAGCTCTTAAATGAGGAAGTGAGATTACAACCTAGTTAAATGGCACTGTCAGGAATCGGAATTCCTACTTTCTGATGCTATGTGCCAATCTAGGTGCACCAGCCTATGACAGTGACTTCCATATTTCAAGGACTATCAGGCAGTTTTCCAAATGGATGAGTTGCTCCAAGTCTGACTTTCGCAGAAGTTCCTCCTGCACTTTTACCTGGAACTGAACACCTTTCATGACTAACACTGCGATGAACTCTGGACTCTCTGCGGCACACATGTGTGTGCGCAATTATATATATGAACTGAACACGGTATCTGACCTTGAAGTCTGAAAGCAAAGAGTTGGTTAAGAATGTCATATGCTTGCCCTGGCTGGTTTGGCTCAGCGGTTAGAGCGTCGGCCTGCGGTACAGAGAGACCCGGGTTCGGTTGCCGCTAAGGGCATGTACCTCGGTTGCAGTTTGTCCCCGGCCCTGGTTGGTCGTGCAGGTGGCAGCCACTCGATGTGTCCCTTCACATCGATGTTTCTCTCTCTCCCTCTTCCTCTCTCTCCCTCCCACTCTATCTGAACAAAAAACGGAAAAATGTCCTCGGGTGAGGATAAAAAAAAAGAATTTCATATGCTAAACCAATTTTTATGAAGTTCTGTATACATGAATATTTTTATGCCATTCTTGTCTACATGAAGTAAATAAAACTTGGGTGTCGTTACACAGTCTAGGAAACAAACACATTTTTATAAGATCAAAATAATGTGAACACTTTACCTATTCCATAAGTTGATTTTTTAAATAAGGAGTTTTTCTACCAAAGGAGTAGAAGATACTAATTTAGCAAACATTTGGTTACTACCATGGTCAGAACGTATTAAAATAAATAGTTCAGCCCTGGCCGGTTTGGCTCAGCGGTTAGAGTGTCAGCCTGCAGTCCACAGAAACCCGGGTTCTGTTCCCGCTAAGGGCACAGGCACGTACCTCCGTTGCGGTTTGTCCCCAGCCCTGGTTGGGTCGTGCAGGAGGCAGCCACTCAATGTGTCCCTTTCACACTGATGTTTCTCTCTCTCTCTCCCTCCCACTCTATCTGAACAAAAAATGGAAAAATGTCCTTGGATGAGGATTTAAAAAATAAATAAAATAAATAGTTGAATTTTTCCTATTGCTTTAAAATATAATCCTATCAATTATAATTATCTGGTTATCCTCTGTGTCTCCCTGACAACCCCCAAAAAGAAATACTTTGTTTCTTTTAAAACCTTGATTTGGGGGTCACTCAACATAAATTGTAGGAAAAATGTCAGAAAAGTTGTTAAAAAAATGTTAATAAAAAGATGTAAGATTGGTTTTACCAAAGTTAACAAACCTTTATTAAAGGCTCAGAACTCATTTTATATAAGCATTTAATTATCAATTTAATTTTTTATAATCATATAATCAATATGTAAAATACAAATTCAGATCCCCAACAATTATCCTTACATTAATTCAAGGCATTTAAAATTTTACATAAAATATATACCAATTTGGAACAAAGCATTTCATCTAATAAATGTTCTCATAAGGCTAGTTACCTAAAATAAAACAGAAACTAGAACTAGGGACCATTAAGACCTTCTTTTCACATGCAAAAATGGGTAAATACACTTGAATGTGCAGACACAGGCAAACACGTGTGCACATACACATTCGCGCGCGCGCGCGCATGCCTCAGAAATCTGAAAATTATCTTCATTCTCCAGAAGAAAGCTTTTTGCTCCTATTTGGAAACCTCCTCAAAACACTATACAGATCCCTTTTCCAAAAATAAACTCTTCTAAAATATGTATGGCGAGACTTGACATATATATTAGGTAGTTTAAGAAAAGGCAATGATTCCAAGTAAAAACATTGAGATATCTGATTTAAAGTGGAAAAGAATTTATTTAACTTTTGCCATATCAGGACAACAAAGCAGCCCTTTCATGTCATCACTCATTAAAAGGGCATTACAAAACATTAACATAATGTAGTAGCCCATGTTTTCTTTCAGGCACTTTCAAAGGGCATCTCAGACCCACAGTATCTTCTATTGAGTGTGCAAAAAACAGAGCTGCAAAATGATTATTAGTAAGGCAATATATTAATGTCTCCCTTTTTATTTGAACATTAATTTTCCATGTTTTGGAGATATTCTGAACTTAACACTCAAAGATATGCAATATATTTTAAGCGTAGGAATCAGCATATTATCAGCAATCTTGGGTTCAACAGCTACTATCAAGCAATTGATTTCTAATGCACACAACATAGTTTGATAGTATGTGTAAAAGAAGATGGCCTGATTTTTGCCCTCAAATGCACAAAAAGAATTTTCTATATATCCCCCTTAAAACAGTCTTTGGCCTTGCTGAATAATTATAGAGCTGTTATTTTACTGTGAAGCAAAATAAGCCTTCAAGTGTCCCTTACTTGATCTTAGAAGGTCAAATTCTCTGTCCAACAGTTCTTCTTCTGTTAACTTGGAGAAATTATCCTCTCCAAAAGGATTCCACCCTGACATATCAGGTGGGTTACTGATGTTCTTCTGATTTGTAATATTTGCAACTGCCTCTTTACCAGCAACTGACCTAGAGTAAAAATTAAGAAAAGAAAAATCAGGAAAAAAAAACATTAAAATTGAATTTTTTAAATGCCCTACTTTATAAATGCTTAGAACAGATCGCTGCATTATGATGAAGATGGCAGAAAAAGGCATGGATTGAGAAAGACCACCTAGGATCTGAACAGGCTCCATAACGTCACTAGCTGTGTAATCTTAACCAAGTACCTTAACCTCTCTATGTCTCAGCCTCCTCATCTATAAAAGAGGAGTAACAGTATCTACCTCATAGGATTACTGAGAAGATTAAATGATTTAATACACATGAAGCAAAGTGTCTGGTAAAAATATAATAAACAATAAATATTAACTATTATCATAGTGAACAGGCCTTAAAATTAAAATCGGTAGCCATATCAAACAGTTATCACTCTAAAATTACTGCTGAGAAAGGCAATCTTATGTTCCTATTGTGAGAAATCACAATTATGTTCCTTTTGACAAAGGCATTCTTTCTATAGCTACCAAAAAGTGATTAACTGCTAGAACTGCTTTATGAATTAGCGAAAACTAGATGAGGGTTATTTTCTGTAGAGTAAATCTTTCATGGTATTTAAAGTATCTACAGTCCAGGGGGCCTTGGACCACTGGTTCTATGAAAGTTATCTAATAGGCAGCTTTTGAGAGAAGATGAGAGCCTAAAGACGTCTTAACCTAAGAATCCCTGGGCACCTCTCCCTCCTTCAACCGAGCCTGCAAATACAGCATAGGAACGAGGCAATGTAAAAAAGCTGTCAAGTTCATTTCTAATTCGGATTCAGATGTTCTAACATTGGTAATGGACTAACAATCTCTATGTGCTTCTTTTTTTTTTTTTTATTTCTCACCAGAGAATATGTTAACTGATTTTAGAGGAAGGAGGGAGACAGAGGGGGACAGAGGGAGGGAAAGAGAGATGTGAGAGAGAAACATTGATCGGGAAGTCTCCCATACACGTTCCAACCAGGGATCAAGCCCACAACCTAGGTATGTGCTCTGACTGGGACTCAAACCCGTAATCTTTTGGTATACAGGATGACGCTCTAACCAACTAAGCCACACTGGCCATGGCTCTATGTTCTTCTAAAGAAGTATCTCGATTTTGCAAGTCTTGACATTCCCCCCTTAAATTCACCTACCCCCTGGGAGCTCCCTGGTCTTAATGGGGAAAAGAGGGCAAAAGTTGCTCATTTTAATCCCTGGTCCAAGCCCCCTCAGTAGAGCTGACCCAAGAATGAAATATGTAAACAACTGCTGAAAGCTAGAGGAAAATAAACATTATAATTGTCCAACAAGAAGATAATAAATATAATTCAGTTTAGAATTCATTTTGGGAATGCAACAACCACCAAGTGAGTCTGCCTCCATATGACACAGTCCCATCTCTAACTCAAAAACTATCTTCAAGGACTTTCAAAACTAAAAAGGGGCATTCTCTTCCTGCCTGTCAATGATTCTTTTCAGAACATTCTGATTCCTTATCTTTATCATCCTCCTCCTGTTCCTGGGATTAATTAATGAATTCTTCTTGGTAGACTGTAACTCAGTGGGGCTGGGGAGGAGGGAGTGGCGTGGCTTACACAGGTATTAAAATAGTCTACAAGCTCTCTGACACTCTGCCCTTCCAAGGGTAGAACCAAATTCCCTGCCCTTGAATGTGGGCTAGATCCAGTGACTTGATTGTAACAAATAAAATATGCCAAATAATACAAGTGTGTGACTTCTGAGACTAGGTCATAAAAGGTACTGCAGGTTCCTTTTTTTTTTTTTTTTATAACTCTGTGCAGGGGGTGTTTAAACCCACTTTATTATTATTATTATTATTATTATTATTATTATTTTAAATCTTTATTGTTGAATGTAGAATGTATTACAGATGTTCCACATTTTTCCCCCATTGACCCTCTCTCTCCTCCCCCCTCCCGCCCACCTTTCCCCACACTATTGTCTGTGTCCATTGGTTATGCATATAAGTTCTTTGGTTTATTTCTTCCCAACTCCCCAACCCCTTTCCCTTCGAGGTTTGTCAGTCTAGCAATGAATTTGTACTTCTTTATCCCTTCACCTTTTTCACCCATTCCCCCAACCCCCTTCCCATCTGGCAACCAACAAAATGTTCTCTGTGTCTATGAGAATGTTTCTGTTCTACCTGTTCATTTTGTTTGTAGATTCCATTGTTGATAGATATGTATTCATTGCCATTTTGTTTGTTCATATATTTTATCTTTTTCTTCAAAAAGACCTTTCATCATTTCATATAGTAACGGTTTGGTAGTGATGAACTCCTTTATCTTTTTCTTGTCTGGGAAAGTCTTTATATGGCCATCGATTCTAGGTATGACAGTTTTGCAGGATAGAGTAACTTGGTTGTATATTCTTGCTTTTCATCACTCTGAATATTTCTTGCCTCTCCCTTCTGGCCTGTAAAGTTTCTTTTGAGAAATCAGCTGACAGCCTAATGGGAACTCCCTTGTAGGTAACTAGCTGCCTTTCTCTTGCTACTTTTAAGATTCTCTCTTTGTCTCGAACCTTTTGCATGTTGATGATGAAGTGTCTTGGTGTGGCCTCTTGGGGTTCCTCTTGTTTGGGACTCTCTGTGCTTCCTGGACTTGTATGTCTGTTTCCTTCACCAAGTTAGGAAAGTTTTCTGCCATTATTGTTTCAAACAGGTTTTCGATTTCTTGTTCTCGCTCTTCTCCTTCTGGCACCCCCAAGATGCGAATGTTGGCACGCTTGAAGTTGTCCCAGAGGCCCCTTACACTATCCTCATTTTTTTGGATTCTTTTTTTCTTTTTGTTGTTCTGATTGGGCGTTCTTTGCTTCTTTATATTCCAAATCGATGGTTTGCTTCTTGGATTTACATACTCTATTATTGAAGCTGTGTAAATTATTCTTTATTTCAGTTAATGCCTCCTTCAATTCTGACTGTGCTTGCATCATTTCTGACTGGTCCTTTTTTATGCTCTTGAGACCCTCCCTAAGTTCACTGAGGTTCTGAGAGTTCACTGAGCATCCTTATAAGCAGTATTTTGAACTCAGCATCTGTTAGGCTGCTTATCTCCATTTCGCTTAGTTCTTTTCTTGGGGTTTTGTTCTGTTCTTTCATTTGGGACCTGTTTCTTTGTCTCCTCATTTTGGCTGCCTCCCTGTGTTTGTTTCTGTGTATTACTTAACGAGCGGTATGGGGCTAGCTGAGACCAGATGCTGCTCCTTTGAAAGAATTTAAGAAAAACCTGAAGCAGGATCCAAGACGGGCCAATCCTATGGTTAAGCAACTGGCAACAGCTTGGGTGGGGCTGAAAGCTGGGTGGGGCAGGGCCTCAGGGAATCACCAGGGCGGGGCTACCAGTGTGAGCCAGGTGGCCAGAGTCCCATATATGGCTTCTGTCTGCCGCCCCGGGAAGGGCTCACCAAAGGAACAAAGGCCTCTGACAGCCCGTTTGTCCAGGAGAAAGCCCCCTCTCCAGCCCTCGCTCCAGTGCCAAACAGCTCAGTTCTTCCCTGTATGTCTCTGGCGCCCCTCGAGCTGCCTCCCCTCCAAGCTTAGAGGGAGAGAGTCTGATAAGTTCGTGCGCAGGCCCTTTAGGGAGCTGCCTGGGGCTCCAGTCGCCTCAGCTTCCCTGAGCCTCAGTTCCTGCTGGTTTTTCCAGCCAGAAGTTATGGGGACTTCTCTTCCTGGCACTGGAACCCTGAGCGGGTCACCTGGCATGGGACAGGGACCCCTCAGTCCTCAGGAAGGACCTTCCCAGGCAAGGTGTCCTCCTGATTTTTATCCGCCACACTTGGGTGTGGGACCAGCCCGTCTTGCCACTGGCCCTTGTGCCTCCGCCCCTCCGCCCCTCCGCCCCTCCTACCAGTCTGGATGTGGCTGCTGCTTTAATTCTGTAGTTGTAGGACTTCCATTCAGCTTGATTTCAGGTGGTTTTGAATGATGGTTGTTCTGCAGTTAAGTTGTAACTTTGATGTGGTTGTGGGAGGACGCGATACCGCGTTTACCTACTCCACCATCTTGACCGGAAGTCCCCTGCAGGTTCCTTCTTACCCTTTCCTTTGGACCACTCATTCTGGGAGAAATCAGAATAAATGATTCCCTATTCAAAACGGTCTTTGGCTTTGCTAAGGAGAATACTTAAGCAACCTTTTGGAAAGATCCACATGGCAGTGAACTAAGGCCTCCTGCCCAAAGCCATGAGTGAGTCATCTTATCAACAGATTCTCCAGAACCAGTCAAGCCCATTCCCTGGACATAACCACACAGCTAAGCCACTCCTAAATTCCTGACCCAATGAAAGTGTGTAAGATATTTATCATTGTTTTAAACCACTAAGTTTTACAATAATTTATTATGTAGCAACAAATAACTAATACAACAGAACAATTTATATCATAAGATAATATATGCATATGTTTATTTATTTAACTATTATTTGAATACACCATGGTAATACTCACCAATATTCATACTAAAGATATATTAACAGAGTGGAGGAGCCCGGCCAGTGTGATTCAGTGGATTGAACGTCACCCCATGTACTGAAAGGTCCCAGTTTGATTCCCGGTCAGGGCGCATGTTCGTGTTGTGGCCTTGATCCCCAGTGGGGGCATGCAGGAGGCAGCCGATCGATGGTTCTCTCTCACATCAATGTTTCTATCTCTCTCTCTCTCCCAAAAATCAATGAATCCATATTTTTTTAAAAGAAACACAGTGGAGAACAGAAATTTCAGAAGATTAAGTCGGAAATAAAAGGAAACAATAATGCTAACCAACATACTGACCCTTTCCCTCTTCTACTCAGATATCCCTTCTAGAGCCAGACATGTACCCCCTGACTAAGTCTAAGCAGAAATATTTTTTACAGAGCACCTTTTAAACTGTTACAGAAGATATCACTCAACATATAATCCTTTGTATAAGACTGATATTAAATAGGAATAACAGTAGTGGAACAGCACTGAGGCACCAAGTGTGACTGGAGCAGTGTCCCTGTGGGAAGTTCTGTTCCTAACATCTGTCTGCCAAGTACATAGTAACTGTTTCTACCCATCCAATCATTGCCATTTTCCTGCTCCATTCTCTCATCTCCTGCAACACATATCACCACAGGAGTGTAATAAAACAAGTCTTATACATTTTTAGATTCCCAACCCAATATTTCCCAAACTCGGGTATGCAAGATAATTCTGATGGTAAACCTTATTTTATTTTCATTTTAAAATTATACAGAAATTAGAAAAATATTTATCTAACACATCACATTCTATTTTATGAACAATATCACTAGAGATGAGATTTGAGAAGACAGTGCTGTGGTAATTCGCAGGAGTTAGAGGTCTCTCAGCACCTTGAATACTTATGTGTGTCTCAAATCTCTGGATACTCATCTTCCTTTATAACTAATCAGAAGCTTAGATAATAATATGCTATGAAGCACTAATATGAATTCTCTCATGAATTTCCAAGTCTCCATTCTTGTCAGTGATACAACTTTGTATTAAAGTATACATAAATATATTTTGTGTCAGATTACAGTTCAATATTTTTGCATTTTCCAACCACATACACTAGACAAAATTGGCATTTTTGATGCTAGCTAACATCAAAAGTAAAATAAATAAATCATCCAATTAATACAATGCTTCATCAGTCTCTAAAACTAAACAATATCAAGTAGAATATCCTGTTTTTAATGAAGAATACAACTATTCCACTCTTATCCCTAGAGGACTCATTTTCGGGTATGTCTTTTTGTCAGTTTATTAGATTGCTACTTGCATTTCGGAGATTATATTTTATTGCTTTAATTTATTTAAAATATATAGTTATTTGTATTAATTTTATTATTTACAATAATGCTATCAACTTATTAAAGAAAAAAAGTGCTACATGGGTAAATCAAAAAATTGAAACTACAGTCTGCAAATGAGAAAGAGTCTGCCAACACTGATCTGGACCTTTAAACCAGTCTGGATATTATGACCCGCTCACTACTTAGACATGCTGGTCCTAATTCATGTACCTCAAGTTCTGACTTAGGAAGGCACTTTAAAACATTAGCTGTTTCCTCGCTCCCCCTGCCCCACATGCCCAGGTTGTGAGGTATATATACTATAGCAAACTGTACACTTTAGCTCTCCCTTGACATGCTCAGTGAACAAGTATGCTACTCATGTTGCTATTTTTCATGCTCAATTCCTAGCTAAATCTTATCGATACCTTCTCCCAGCTAATGTTTCATATCCTGAAATAGTGTTGTATGAGAACTTGATGTTTTAACAGCCAAAGTTCTAACAGCTACTTCTTCCTACATATCTAAACATATTAAGACGTATTCATAATGGTCAATAGATTTCTTAATTACAAAATCCTGAAGCATTACCCATATCAAATCTAAGTTTGAGAAAATTTATCACAATTCTTTCGTTTATTATACTACTTTCCAATATGAACTATCCATGAAAAAATAACTCTACTAACCAATGTATCTATTTAATGAAAATACACTGTTTCCTGTCTATGTTATGGTAACCATAAGCTTGCTGTACCATACACATCTTAAAAAAGAAGCAAATGGCACATTAAAGAGTTTTGTTATTGGTTTAAATTAAACCAAACTAGATAATTTTTATGACTAAATATTATCAAATTAATTAAAAATAACAACATATAAATAAAAAAAGTGCATTAACTTGTCTGTAAGGATTATTTTTTTAAACTACTAAAGTAGCTTGTTAGGGTTTTGTGTTTCTACTTAAATTACAAAGAATGTCTTATCATCTAAGCCAATACTTTCCTTAACCTTAAATGCTCCTGAATGTTATAAGATGTATACACAAATAGCAGTTAGCCAAATTAACTAATAGAAATGCAAGCAAGGGTGGGGATGCACAGAACGAGCAAGAGGACAGGGGGTGCTCTACAGAAAGATGGGCTCTAAAGTAATGCAGGAGCCACATAATGACTCCACCCCGCAACTACACCTCCTTCCACAAGAATTCCCTTTGCATTCACTGGAAAAATACTTGCCTATTGGCACTATACGAGGAGTCCACTATGGTTCCAACCTGAGCTGGAAGTGATGAAGTGTAGGAGACTAAGGTCGGTGAGAACTCTTGAGGGGAGGTCAGATACTCAGATGACACTTGTTGTTGAGACTGCTGATGTTGAGCTAGCATTTGCTGATGCAAGAAAGCCTGCTGATATCGCTGCACCTGAAACAAGTAATTATACAAAACAAAGCTCAACTTCACTTACGCACTGTCAGTCCTATACCTATTTACTATGTTCCTTCTTTTCACATTGACAACAAAATCAAAAACTTAAGAAGTAATTTATATTTCACAGAGCAATTCACTACTAGAAAAATACAGCAAGGTGGAGCTAGGCTAACATGGCAGTATTTAAAAATTCTCCTTTACATATTTTAAGACAATAGAGTAGTTTAAAGTCTTTATGGTACTATGGCTGCTGTAAAGAAAAGTCAAACTATTCTCTGAAGCAAGGGTAATTTTCCCTTGGCTTTATTTTTCTTCAACTGACATTTGCCAAGTGAAAGAGACATATGACAAAAAGATCATAGGTTATACTATGAGATAAACAAAAAATACTATCAGTTACAATACGCCAAATTCAGATGCTATAGTTCAGCCTACTTTAAAACTGCTTAAGAATACATGACTGGCTTCAATCAAATACATGTAATTAACTAACTTGAACTGATTTTGAGTAATTAAATTCTGAATAATATCACTCATACTGTGAATTCCAATAGTAATTCAGAGAGAAATCTGCAGAAATTATGTAACACCTACCATTGCAGGATACTGTGGTGCAGAAGGCTGTGGATGATATACAGAATGCATTAAAAACTGTTGCTGAAGTATTTGTTTCTGCTGCATTGCATGTTGATACTACAATGAGAAAAGCAAACAACTTCATCAGTATTACTCATGCCTTTTTTGTGCCACAGTCTTTTTTTCTTAAGTACTGATCTTACTGTAACAATGGCTTGGGTACTCAGGAGTCCAAACACCTATGTAAACTAGCTATAGTCAGTGACTATAACTTATATATGCTTATTGGAAATGGTTTCAGAATTATCAGTGAAAATAACGGATTCAACTAAAACCATTACCAGCACAGTTTAAGGATGTTGGGAAGAAACCTAAACCTAAACACATTTACCAGTTGATGGAGACCTGAAGTTACTTGGGTCCAGGACTAATTATAGTGCATTCCCCCACTCCTCTATCTCCCCTTCAACGATATCTTCTGGCCATCACCTACTTAACCACCCTCCACTTGGGGTCTATCAGTCAAGGCCAGAGGAGGGAGGCACCCATGAGAAGTCCCATGCATATAATGGACTCAAAAATATTTCAGGAAAAGATGATGGTGACAGTCATTACATTTAAAATAGTTCCGTGAGCCCTGGCCGGTTTGGCTCAGCGGTTAGAGCGTCGGCCTGTGGTCCGGAGAGACCCAGGTTCAGTTTCCATTAAGGGCATGTACCTGGGTTACAGTTTGTCCCTGGCCCTGGTTAGGTCGTGTGGGTGGCAACCACTCGAAGTGTCCCTTTCACGTCAATGTTTCTCTCTCTCTCTCTCTCTACCCCTCCCACTCTATCTGAACAAAATATCAAAAAAATAAAGTAAAATAAACTAGAAATTTGCAGGTTCTGATGAGGCAAAGCACAGAACAGAACATAAGGTCATTTTTTAAATGCCTCCCTCCACCATCCACAAACACACCAACACAACCACAAATATAACAAAACTCAACACAATGTTATTCCTGAAAGCTTAATATCACCTTTCCAAAAACAACATAATTATAATCAATGTATTTGAACTCAAAATGTAACTAAAAAAAAAATTATCATAAATTGCAGTGCTTATACATGATGCCAAATGACTAGATGAACATTCTTTGCTTCATAAAGCCATGATGCAACTATTTCAGCAGACTATTCTTAAGTAACTCACAGAATGCAAATAAAATACATATTCTTTAGTAGTCAGAAAATTGAGCAAAATGTTTACTTAGATCTATAGTTCAAGGTGCCCATAATAAGAAAAGGAATTCACTGATATTCAAAAGCTGCATGAATTTCCTAACACTACTTTCATATCTAAAGTAACAAAAGAATTAATTACCTGCTGCATATAAGCATCCTGTTGCTGCTGTTGCTGCTGGTGAGGGTGACGATGCTGTAAATGAAGCTGCTGCAGTCTCCAATCTCCCTGCTGTAGCTGCTGAAGTACTCTGTGCTGCTGTGGAGGCTGCTGAGGGGGCCCCTGACTCAGTAAAACCTCAGGGCCAATTCCAGCTCTCAGTGCTCCTAAAAAGAGTTTCCAAAAACTTACATTAACATACTCATGGATTTCAACAAAATGGCTCTATTTCAAAACACTAATTTCAATAATCATTTAACCAAGGCATTTATATCCTTATTTTATAATACAGAAACTTCCATAACCATATAGTCTCAAGGGATTATTTACTGAAATTCTAAGTACCCATGAATGTTATTTTGTCAGCTGCAACTTGAACAAGTCAACGTCTTAGAAACACCTCCACGAACAAGCTTCGTCTCTCCATGAACAAACGAGCCATGTCAGTTTGTTCTGCATTTCTCAAATATATCATGCACAGATGTGAGTCTGTGTCTCTGCCAAAATGATTCTCTCCATCTAGCATCTCACTTTCTACCTACTTATTCTTCTTATTTAAAGTTTAGCTCAAATCTCTCTTCCTTGTTACTTCATCTAATACTTCTACTTAGTTTGTAACATTTCATGCTTACACATACTAATTGTTTATCTAGGCCCCAGAAGGATGGGGTGATAACTTATTTACTTCCTAGCACCCCAAAGGACCTTTAATACAATAGATCAATAAATGCTACTGCAGCCCAGCCAGTGTGGCCCAGTGTACTGACTGAGAGGTCCTGGTTCAATTCCATGGCAGGGCACATGCCTGGGTTGCAGGCTCGAAGCCCAGTAGAGGGCAAGCAGTAGGCAGCTGATCGATATTTCTCTCTCACACTGATGTTTCTCTCTCTCTCTCTCCCTTATTCTCCCTCTAAAAATAAAATAAAACATAAAAATAATAATAAAATAAATGCTACTGCAGTGAATGTATTAACACTGTCTCCTAAATAGATATTTATTTACAAGCTTCATAAATTTTACGCTAGGAATATCCTATGAATAAACTTTAAAAATTAATGAAAAAGAAAGACACACAAAACACCAGAAAATGAAATATAGTATAATTTCTGTATTTTCTTTCAATGAGTTACCATAAGTGCAAATGCAACTCTTTAATCCAAGGAGAAAAGAGGAGAAAGAGTGCGAGGAGGGAGAGAGGGGTTCTTTTCTAACAACGTCAGTATCTTCTAACTTCTCCAGACCTGAAGTATGGCACCTCTATGACAATAGCTTTATAACTATTTCTAATTCTTCCAATTATAAGAAACTACTTATCCACTTTAATTATTCCTGAAAATACTTACAAAAATAGAAGAAAGAAAATTAGAACCATAATTGCACCACAGACATAACCATCATTATTAGCCTTTTAAGTATATTTGTTTATAGTTGGAAGAGTATTAAAAAATTAAGCTCCTCAGCTATACATTCTTCTTTTAGCATCCTGATGTCTAGATCAAGAACAACTGTGGCTGGGGGTGAAACCCAATCACAAACCAATAATGATCCTCATGCAATAACTCATGAGGTTCACCTCTCACATCACAAAGTGACTTTAGTGTCATCAAGCTGAATAGAGCGCCTTAGTTCTCCAGACATGGACACGGAACACCAGAGAACTCCCAAACATCACAACACTTTCACAAGGAAACAAATGTTTTCAGTATATGACCGAATCCTCCTACCATCATTCCCCATTCTGAAAACAATGAAACTAAGCCTCAAAGAAATTAATTCACAAATGAAGTTAAAGATAAATGATAAACTAAAAGAAAATATTTATAATATATTTGGCAAAGAGCTAATATTCAAAATATATAAAAATAAAACCTTCAGAGCAATAAAAAACAAAGACAAACAATGTCATAAAAAACTGCAAAATGTAATTCACAGAAAAAAACAAATGGCAGTAAACATGTGAAAGAGTACTATTAATTAGGAATATTAAAAATAAACAAAAAAGTTTCACCTATCAATAGGGAAACGTAAAAACCAACACTACCAAGTGTTGACAAGGACAGGAAGGAAGGGCATGCGCCCTGCTGATGAAAGTGTACATTTCTGAAGTCTCTTTGGATAGCAATTTGGCAGTATTGAACAAATTTTGATTATGCATACTTTTTAACAACTTCCTCAGAAAAACATTCTGTCATGTACATCAAAGTCTTTTATAAGAATGTTCACTCCAAGACTATTAATAATAGCAAATACTGTATGCACACTGAATGCTGCAAGTTATCCTGGGAAGAAAAAGAATGAAGACCTTTAAATTTTTCTCTGATTATTTCTGCACTATCTCCATATTTTACAAGAGAAGATTCGTGTTACTTTTTTGTATACATGGAGTAAAACAGTACTATTTTCAAGCTCAGGCTGGAAGCATGTAAGAGAAGTGCTGCCCCTCACAGGGGAGCAGGCTTGACACTCATACTAGGTCTTGCTCTCCGGACAAACATAAGCAATTTCACTAAGCACCAACATCAGACAAAGCTACTCTGACCGTGATAGATCTGGACAAGACCACTCCATAATCATGTCTCAACAATGACAAAATCAGCAACACTGCCCAAACCACTGTGGTGGCCAAACCTCTCCCTGTCCTGCCTAACATGACTGAGTGCTGCTTTGTCATCAACTGAGCTTATGGCTTCCCTTCTTCTAGATAATATTTATTTTATCACTTCCCTAGTGATACCATACAACCCCTTCCTGACTCCTTCCATTCAGAACAAAGCCCCACTTCCTTAAAGCCTCCCCAAACTACCTAAAACTAGCCCAAATCCTTTAATAAGGCTTTACAAACAGCATCTTACTGAAACACTCCCACAGACTCCCATGGTAGGGGAGTAATAAACCCCTCTGTTCAACTACAAGTGTGTTCCTGGTGGTCTTTGGCTAAAGGGCACTGATACATAATTGACTAATAGGATCTCCAACCCAAAACAGTCGAAAAATGAGAAATGAACACTGAATGTTTACTAAGAAACAGGATTTTCCTAGAGATCACACACCTTGTTATTTACTTCTTGTAACAGGAAAAGTAGTTATTATTCACATTTTATAAAAGAGAACAGTGACATAGAGAAATGGTAAAATGGGATTGGACACAAAGATTTCAAGTTCCCCTGTTTTCCCTCTTCCATGAAACACTCCTCCATCTGGTATACCAGATTACCACAGAGGTATGCAGCAATACGTCAGATAACATTAACATTATCTTCCTGAGCATATATTTCACTTCATAGTAATAACAGTAGTTAATAATTAACATTTCTTAAGGACATATTATGGGGCAGGCATTATATTAAGCAGTCATTTAATCCTCCTAACAACTCTATAAGAAGTACTAGCATTTTCTTAACATATATTACCAAAAAATGACAAAAATAGGATTCAGGTCCAGGTCCATGAGCCTCAAAATGTGAGATCTTAACTATTAGAGTATCCTAACTTAAAATATTTTTTTTCTTTTTTTTTTTTTTTTCTTTATCCTCACCCGAGGACATTTTTCCATTTTTTTTTGTACAGATAGAGTGGGAGGAAGAGAGAGAGAGAGAGGGAAACATCGATGTGAAAGGGACACATCGAGCGGCTGCCACCCGCACGACCAACCAGGGCCGGGGACAAACTGCAACCAAGGTACATGCCCTTAGCGGGAACCAAACCCGGGTCTCTCTGGACCACAGGCGGACGCTCTAACCGCTGAGCCAAACTGGCCAGGGCTAACTTAAAATATTTTAATTGAAAACATTTTAATATTAAAATAAAACAGATCTGTCATGAAATATAGTGTCAAACAGAGTTTCCTTGAGATGTGCCTTCAAGTTACCACATTCCCAAAACCTTAAAAGAGCAAGTCTACTCTCTAATATTAGAGATATTTCCTTGGGGGGAGGTTTTTATTTTTTAATTTCTGTATCATAATCTTAGAAGATATTTTATATTAGAAAAACAACTTTTCTCAAAATCAGAGGACAAGACAAATTGCTATGTTTTACCATCCACACAGTCCAAGACAGACTCTGCTGCCAACACTATAGATCAGTGCAAAGACATTTAACTTTGTAAGGCTAGAGTTTCAACTTCTTCCTTTCCAACACAATATAGAGTTTTCTACACCCTTAAACTTTATCATCAGCCTCAAACCCTACTAGTTGGTGACACTAGAGATAAACAAATTATGAGCTTTGTATACCATACTTTTATAAGCCAGTAACTTACCTTTCCCTACAACTTTAGGAAAACAATTAGCTGAGTTTATTAGACATCAGTATAAAGTTTCTTAAAGCATTATGTTATCTGCTTCACAATAATAAGTTTGCCAGTAATTTATACTCCTAGGAAATCAAGCCATAAAGGTTTGTTTACATCAACTATAAAGGGGACCAGGTTGGCAGGGCTATATTACCTTTTGATCTGTGGTTACTGAATTCACCAGGTACAGGGACTTTGACAGGTGTTGCTGAATTCTGAATGGTCAGCACACTAGGAGTGGCAGTAGTAGAGTTGGCCTTTGGTCTTTGTCTTGGTGCAATTGAGGTTTCTGTTGGTCCAATGGTATCTGTTATTCTGTAAGAGAAGAGAACATTTTATTACAAATATTGGGATTATTTCTAACTTACTCTTTCTTCTATGAAGCATCTACTTCAACAGATGCATTTTAATTATTATCATAATCATGTTAGTATTCTTGGGTCCTTCCTAAGTCTCACTCTCAAGTATTAAATGTTTAATGAAGATAGAAAAATAAGATAAACCTAACCATTTCCTTTAAACCAGTATGCAACCATTCATAGCCTGCCACTGAAGCTGGCAGAAAAAAGATTGCTCTTAAGGAGATGAAATAAAAGAAACAAACAAACCTTCTCATAAGGTTTTAGACAAAACTGAGAGCCAACTCTGTGAACCAGTCAGATAAATTCAAATAACAATAAATCAACAGTCCTCCTTAGCTTGGACTCTAGGCCTGAGAAATGAGAGACTGCGCCCTAGGGCACATAATAAAAAAGAAGCTAAAACTTAAAAAGTGGAGCTACCTGTTCACATTCAACTTCTTGAATCTCTGACTTTGCTTTTCTTAAAATATTGAATGAAAATTATATAAAACTTTCCCACTTGGACTTAGTTTAGGCCATAAACATGGGCAGTCAGGTGGTAAGCATAATTTTGAAAGCAGGAGGTACTAAATATAATTTAAGAAAACACAGATATTTCCTCTTCTCTTTCCAAAAAAACCCAGAAAAAATCTTACATATTCACTAACTTTGCTTTCTACAAATTCAGTACAAAAATTCAAGTAAGTATTGATAATCAAATGTTCACTTTTCAACAGGACTGCAATAAAATCTCTTTACCAAGTTCCCTAAGCATATTTTCAAATGATTTAATACTTAAAATTTTGCATACATATGATTTTTAAGTGCACATCTGCTGCCTTTGATACAGTCCTGTTTGCCAGAACTGCACAGATCCAGTTCTTTCTTATATCTGTATGAGCCACAAGAGGGAGCCCTGTGCACAACTATCCAGGCAAGAAAGGAAGTGAAAAAAACATTTTAGAAAATCATAGAAAGACATTGTATATGTGCTGTTTTCTAAATGTAATCTTTATATTTTAAATGAGATGGGGATGGTATAAGTCATATGAAAACTGAACAAAGCCCTGAACAGTTTTGCTCAGCGGTTAGCACGTCAGCCTGCAGACAAAAGGGTCTTGGGTTTGATTCCCCAGTCAAGGGTATGTACCAGGGTTGCAGGTTTGATCCCGCCAAGGTCATGCGGGAAGCAACCAATGTGTCTCTCTCATATCAATGTTTCTCTCTCTCTCTCCCCCACCCCCCCACCCCATTCCTCCCTCCCTTCCACTCTATCTAAAAATGAATGGAAAAGTATCCTTGGACAAAGATTAAAAAAAAAAAATTGAACTAAAAGGCAATAAAAGATCTTGTATACATATAACCAACTAGATCTCATTCTTATGACAATCAAGTATTTACTGAGGTCAAGTTATGGATGTGACACTAAAACCAATGCTATGCTCTCTACATTCAAGTAATGTGGAGAAAATACTGCATACAATCTCTATTTGTTTATACATTTCTTATTAATAACAGACCTCACCCTGCCTTGTTCCTGTTCTAAAACTCTAGAGATTCACAGTATATGAGTAAAGTGTACTAAAGTTCTGCAAACTTTAGTTTAGTGTTTCCTATTTATCAATGTACCAATATCTAATATACAATTACTGATATACAGCAAATACAGCACAATACCCTGTCTTCAAAGAATTCGTAGTATACCTAGAGAGATACGGCACATGTTCACAAAAATATACTAAAATATAAAAGTAAAAAGAATCAGTGCCATGTTAGTACAATCAAGAGTTTCATGGAGGAGTAAATTCTACCTTTAACCTAAAATGACTAGAGAAGGCTTCAATACGAACTGGAGATAAAAATAGAATAAGATGATCGCATTAGACAGTGAAAAGACACAAAGCGTTCTGTGTGAGGGGATGGGAGACAGCGCTTGGACAGAGGCACACCTGACTGAAGTGACAGACCGAGCCGCTACTGGCAGCATCGCTGCTGCTCGGCTTTATCCACAGAACGCAGACACAGCTGTGTTCCCCGCTTTCCTCCTACCACCTGAACCATCTTCCCAAAACACAGTCCCTCCTCTTCAAACCCTCAGTGTTTCCCTCTGCCAGGACAGAGACTCAGCCTTCGTCTTTAATATATCACATAAGTTTCACATGTTCAACAGTCCCAAGAGGAGATGCAGATATCCAGGGGTGCAAGGGGACTTTCAAGAAGTAGAGCGGAGTGCCACATACAGAAGGCAGGGCAGGTGGGTAACATTCATAAGAGCTTTAAAACGTGTAATTAATGATAGTAGCTGTTTAAAGATTTCTCCACCCCACCTATCCCCAGAAATATGCCTTTTATATGGAAAAAAGACGTTATTTGTTTATTACTAAGTTTTATGCACATTTAGACTTTTTTTCTAGTTCTGAACTATCAATGTAGAGTAAATTTATATTATTGACCAATAAGCACAAATGAACCTTGTTTATTTATTTTTTTTAATCCTCACCTAAGGACATTTTTCCATTTTTTGTTCAGGTAGAGTGGGGGAGAGAGAAAGGAAGAGAGAGAGAGAGAAACATCAATGTGAAAGGGACACATCGAGTGGCTGCCACCCGCACGACCAATCAAGGCCGGGGACAAGCTGCAACCAAGGTACATGTCCTTAGTGGGAACTGAACCCAGGTCTCTCTGGACCACAGGCGGATGCTCTAATAGCTGAGCCATACCGGCCAGGGCCAGATGAACCTTATTTTAATATACATAATGTATAACTTTAACATACATGAATAGCACTAAGAATTTAGTTGTGTTACCTATTTCATTTGCTCAGCTATAACTTGTGTCATAATGAAGATATTCAAAGCATCATTTTTATCAGTTGATTTGTACTTTTTAAAATCTGTATCTACTTTCTTAAAGATTTAATAACAAAATAATTATCAAAAAACAAGTAGCAATAAAATTCAACAAACAATTCCACAATAATTCATTATTACCACTCAACAAGAACATCAGTTGCTAACTACAGCTATGTCATAGGTTGGTCACGGTGGATTCCTGAAGGTTGGATACCACTTATTCCTTTGTCTCCTCCTCAAGAGTACTTTAAAATTCAAGTGAATGAAGATAATATTTTTAGTGTGATGCATATTTTTTTAAAAAACTAAGAATTCCCAAATGACATTTTAACAATTTATAAATAATACATTTTATATAACACATCTCACAATCAAGGTACAAACAGAACTGACCACAGGTTGAAAATTCACTAGCCTAAATACCAAAGGCCAAATTTCTCAGCACGACATAAAAAGTTGCTGGCATTTACCTACCTCTTCAGCTTCACTTCCCACCACTCTTGTAATATGCCCCTGGGCTCCAGTATACACTTCCCACCACCATACATCCCCTATGCTCCAGTATACACTTCCCACCACCATACGTCCCCTATGCTCCAGTGTACACTTCCCACCGCCATACATCCCTGTGCTCCAGTGTACATTTCCCACCACCATACATCCCCTATGCTTCAGTGTACAGTTCCCACCACCAAACATCCCTGTGCTCCAGTGCTTCCCACCACCATACATCCCTGTGGCTCCAGTGTACACTTCCCACCACCATACATCCCTGTGCTCCAGTGTACACTTCCCACCGCCATATATCCCTGTGCTCCAGTGTACACTTCCCACCACCATACGTCCCCTATGCTCCAGTGTACACTTCCCACCGCCATATATCCCTGTGCTCCAGTGTACATTTCCCACCACCATACATCCCCTATGCTTCAGTGTACAGTTCCCACCACCAAACATCCCTGTGCTCCAGTGCTTCCCACCACCATACATCCCTGTGCTCCAGTGTACACTTCCCACCGCCATATATCCCTGTGCTCCAGTGTACACTTCCCACCGCCATATATCCCTGTGCTCCAGTGTACACTTCCCACCGCCATATATCCCTGTGCTCCAGTGTACACTTCCCACCACCATATGTCCCTGTGCTCCAGTGTACACTTCCCACCACATGTCTCTGTGCTCTAGCCTCACAGTGTCATAAAGGCCATTCTTCTTGCCTGAAGTGCCTGCTTGTCATAGTTTCACTACCCATAATTCCAGGTGATGGGCTATATTATTCATCCTTCAAGCAACAGCTCAGCAACCCCCACACCCAGAGAAAGATTTGCGTTCTTTCTGTACCCCCGTTTTCTCTACTCCCTGTCTTTCCTCCCTCTACACTCAGAGTTGCCTGTATCTATCAGGTTGGAATTATTTACTTGTGTATCTTTATTAGAATGTGAACTCCTTAGGAATAAACACTGCTTCTTTTTCTTCATGCTTTCTGTATCTATACCTTGCACATAACAGGTATATGACACATGTTTTCTATGTCAAATAAAATACTTTGCATAGGTAAAATATCATATAAAACAGCTGTGACTAAGACATCTCCTCAAAAGTAATATTATACATATTACATACGATAGTATGTAATGTGATCATCTAAAACACAGTCTTGCGCCCAGCTGGTGTGGCTCAGTGGATGAGTGTTGTCCCATGAACTGAGAGATCCTGGTTCGATTCCCTGTCAGGGCACGTGCCCGGGTTGTGGGCTCCATCCCCTGTAGGGGGTGTGTAGGAGGCAGCCAATCCATGTTTCTCTCTCACACTGATGTTTCGCTCTCTCTCCTTTCCTCTCTCTCTAAAAAAAACAAAAATATTTAAAAAAAATAAAATACAGTCCTGCTTATTAACTTCTAAACTCAAAAAGAAAAGAAGAAAAAAATTAATCATTAATTCAGTAATAACTCAGATTCAGGTCTTAACCTATACAATATGTATCAAATTTACTAATGTAGTAAAATAACTATGAAAACTCATTTAAACATTATATTTCACCACTCTTAATTCATTCATTATAAATTATACGTAGTAGTACATATTTAAATATGTATTAGCACACATAAAATAGTTTATAAATTTTGAATACTCTAAAAATGTTGCCTATAAGAGCTATTTTTCCTTTCCTTAAATAAAAAATCATACAAGCTATAAACTCAAAACATAACAGTTCCCAAATTAGAGTTGCCATGTAATAAATAATGACAACTCCCCACCAAATGACCCAATGTAACATTACCAGTCATATAATCACTCCTTGAGTACTGAGAGTGAGCGTTCAGGTAAGACTGATGTCAAACCAGTCTTTAATACATAAAAGCTCATTTTGTACTCACTATCTGAACTCTACACCACATGCAAGAAGGAACACAATATTTTTTGTGGGTGTATATATTTAATTAATTACATTTTCTAGGATTAAAAATGAGAACTATCCCCTTTTTTTAAAAAGCCTTCTCAAATTTCAGATAGCTTTGCCCACCTGGTTTTTATTTGGCTTTTCCTAGAAGCTGCTTCACTAGCAGTCATGGGTTCAGGAAGAGCTGAAGGAATAGAAGAATTCTGGGAAGAAAAATAAAACCTGTCATTTTAGTTTTCATTTTAATTGCTGAAAGCTTTATTTAAAGGCTATGGATATATTCTTAAATTTAAAAAATATTATCTGTGAGATACTATTACTGTCACTGCAGATAACTACATATCATTCACACATATTTGCCAGATCTAATCTGCAAACCACCACATGTTGCACAAATGTCCCTTTCATATTCATGTGCCACAGAAACCCTTCAAGAATAAGCAGAAACATATCACTGTATCCACTTTACAAGTGGGCAAATCTCTGTTGAAAAAAAAGGATTATATTATACTTGTAAATCAATGACTACTTCACACTTTGAGGGAAAAAAGCACATGAGTAGTGTTGTTTCTAAATATTGCAAACATTTTCGTGACACTGCGTGTAAAATCTGAAAACCAAGAGCAAAGGCTTTCCTCACTTGTTGGTGTTCTATTTGACTTACAGCACGTACTCAAATGTTTACTAAAGAAAAAGCTAAAAATCTATAACCCTGCTGATGTGGCTAAATTGGGCTGAGTGTCGCTCTGTGCACTGAAAGGCTGCCGGTTCAATTTCTGGTCAGGGCATATGCCCAAGTTGTGGCTCGATCCCCGGTCAGGGTGCGCATGGCAGGCGACCAATCGATGTTTCTCTCTCATACTGATGTTTTTCTCCCTACCTTTCCCTTCCTCTCTCTCTAAAATCAATAAAAACATTTTTAAAAAGGAAAAAGAAAAGCTAAAAATCTATAGCCAAATGTCAAATAAAGCTACTTTTATTACTGGAATGTTAGAACTGCATCACTTTCAGCTTCAACAAAGAATATCTGTCACAGTAAGAACTTCAAAAACAAAAAGTAAAGGTACCAACTTCCTTCTTTTTCTTAGTGGAGTGAATTAAGTTATACATAAAGAAAAACCGACAAGCGGAAGCAAGCCCAGAATGATCTTTAGAAAGCTGAGAATGGCTTAAAGTCAGTGATGATTCTAGACCTTTATCAAAATTAGCAGAGACCTGCCATCCTCAGTTAATCTGATGTAGTTAAATACAGTGTGCAGACACAGGATATAATTCAAAGCCTTTCACTGACATTAACTATTACTAACTCAGCACCTTCCATGGACTAGGCACTGGGTTTACATTTATTATTTGTAGTCCTCATAATTACTATCCCTGTTTTACAGAAAAAGAACTAACATTAATTAACTTCCCAAAATATAGTTGGCCTCATTAGTCGCGGGTCCCACATCTGAGGATTCAACAAACTTCAGATCAAAAATACTACTCAGGAAAAAATGTTTTGTTGTTGCTGACTTGCACTATGGAGTTAGGGCTACAATGGCTGCATCTCTACTGACACGTAGAGACATTTTTTTTCTTGTCAGTATTCCTTAAACAATATAGTATAATAACTATTTACATGCCATTTATATTAGGTACTATAGGTAATCCAGAGATAATTTAAAGTACACAGGAGGATGTGTATAGATTATATGCAAATACTACACTGTTTTATATAAGGAACTTGAGCACCCAAAGATTTTGGTACCCACCTGAGTCCTGACACCAATCCCCTGCAGAAAATGAGGGATGACTATATTCAACATCAGTCCCTGATAAAGACAGGTCTCTCCGTTTACAATGCCTCTGCTCTTTACACCAAAGGGAATCAAACTTTCTCAGTGTACAGAATGCTCAATGTCTCAGATGTCACTGTATTTCTCTCAAAAATGCAAAATATCATGCAGTGCCCCAAGTCTACTATAGCTTCCTACAGCACTTCCTCACACAATTTGGCAACTGTGGCTTTATATGAAAAATACTAATCACAAACATTACTAGACTTGTCATGAAACAAATAACTCTGAAAGTGTGTATGTGTATACACACACAATTATATATGTAATCAAATTGATTTTAAATTCATACCCCGCTTTAAAAACTACTTACATTGATATTGGAGACTGGACAATCCTTTTTGGCAAATTTAAATGCAAAATAAGACACTTGAAATATATCAGGTCTACGCTCTGGATCTGGTTCAAGCATGAACCCTGCAAGAACAGGTTAAAATGTTAAGATGTTTCACTAAACACAGAAGTTATATAGGGGCACAGTAATAGGATTTTATTTATTTATATTTCTATCTATCTATCTATCTATCTATCTATCTATCTATCTATCTATCTATAGATAAAGACAAATCAGTCATACAACAGCTCTGTACCTATCTATCTATCTATAGATAAAGACAAATCAGTCATACAACAGCTCTGTACCAGAAGCATGATTAACAAATGTAGATATTCTTCTGAGAAAGTGAAATAAAAGTGAGGTTAGTAAACACTGAAGAATTATTCATGAAAATTCTGGGCCATACTAGGAGTCCTTAATGGCATTACTATCTAAAATACCTCTACTAATTTTTAAGTAATCTTGAACCACTGAGAAAAAACTAAATTGTGTGGATTAAAAAGTAGTACAAGGTGGACAGTATAATTTTCCAAAAATATGCTTTCTTCCCACACTGATGCTAAAAGTATTCACCCACCATTCTATATTTCAATGTGTTCTACATATACTGTTCAGAAGTATGAACTGAGTTTTACAGCTCTATTATGTATGTTCTCACACCAACATGATAGCATTGCTTGAAATGTCTGACCTACTTTCTACAAAATGACCAATACCATTTGTCTTTCTTGGGTGATTGTTAATTTACAATTTCACAAGAAGGTTGACACATATACTCAACTCACTTCTTTAACTGAAAAATTCATATTTTGTTAAAACTCTCCATGTTCTAACTCTGATTAATTAATTAACTCAGTTCTTAAAATGTTCAAATCATTTTTAAACCTATTTGGAATGTAAGACTTACAACAGTAATTAGATTAATATTCTGAAATTTGCTAACAAAATTATATACAGAGATCAAAGTATATGAACAGCTAAATTAAAATTATAAATTAAACTTCGTTCAATTTTTTCCATTCGAATTTAAGAAATTTTTAAACAAACAATTTATAATACATCTCCTACAGTATGATAAACTTATTTTGGTTAAAAACACAGTTGTAGTTTGGCAAGTAACAACACAAACTTAGCAGAAATTTCTTTGGGAAATTATGAACTCAGTTTTTAAACTATTCTGCATGTAACTTTATTTTATGTACTGAAAAAGACTAAGATGTATAACTTATAGAATTGATTTTTGTATTATTTTACCACCACTGTTAAATGGAAAACACATTTAATTCTAGTATTTATTGGATTATATTCAACCTCTTTCCAGAAAAGATTTTAAGAACCTACAAAGTTTAGTTTATCCTCCAAAATCATACTTTATCGTGACACCCACAGATATTAAATGTTTTAAAAGTAACAATAATCTAGGGATAAATTTAAATAGGGTTCTAACAATAAATGCTTATTCAAATAATTTTTTAAACAAACAATTCACGACAAACTTATCAAGTTCACAAACTTAAGATTCTACTTTTCTAACAATTCAGTTTATTTGGCTTTTAAAATCTAATTATAAATATTTATTCCTATAAAGGAGTTGAAGTGGCATTCAAACTATAAGACTTTTTAAATATATGAGAACATTAGAACTAATGGAAAAGTAATAGCTGAGAGACCATAAAAATAAAAACATAAACCCACCAGGATGATGATGTCCATAAAGAAATTGCATATGATGACTTAGTCTCATAAATATAGGCCACAAATTTAGCTCCCCACCTTCTAACTGTCAACACAAATAGGGCAACATGATCCAACCCATGAATCACAGTGTCCTTCACACAAAAATAAACCAGATGCTAAGAAAAAGCACTGTTCCTGATACCAAAAGCAAACAGTAAATTCTTCTTTGAGTTGTTCTAAAGCTGGCTCCCACTGAGTAAACGCTACCCTTAAAAAGCTGCAATAAAAAAAAAAAAAAAGTAGCATTGAGTAACGTCTTATACGCTCCTTCCATGTGGACCAGTGACATAACACCTAAATGCAGTTAGGTAAAAAAAAATTCTATGGGGTAGAGGAGAGTATGGTATGAGAATGCACTTCTCTGGCCTACCTTAATCTAGAAAAAGCTTTTTAAGTATCTATAGAGAAATAAAATGATACATTAGGCAATGCTACATGTATATATTTTTTCTTTCATAGTAGATGAAAGGCACTGAAGGGAAATAAATAAACTTAAGATTTTATGTTCTCTAACCAATATTTGTATAAGTAATTCTATCTCTGAAGCTAACCATAGTACAACATCCTCTAATGTTAGGTAGTTTGGCTGTGGGTAGAGATGATTCATCTTAGAAGCAAACAGGATTCCTAAGTCCCCGGTTCATGTTTCCATGTGGGAATACATCTGTGGAAGCCAGTTTAGTTTGTTTAACTGTACCAATCCCATTTATGTGACATAAAAGGTAATGACTAGCATTTTAATAAAGTAGAATAGAAAATATTAAAGTGCACTATTGTGGTAAGTATAAGCAATGTTTCATAAAACCTGTTCCATATGCACATATGTGTTTAAGTGTACCTGTTCACAACTAAAATTTATTTATTATTATAGATCATAAACAATTTGAGAACCACTGGGCTAATGACCTCTCCCCACATAACTCATTCCTCTCCAAGAAAAAGAGGGTGATTTGCTTGTTAGACTAGAAAAACAAACAAACAAAAAAACACACCCAGCATCCACACATGCCCATCTCTACTGCTCTTTCTTTCAGAACAGTTTACTCTCGGGACATGTATGTTCTTTGCAAAACCATGGTTTTGCAAGTGGTCTGCTTCTGTGGAAGAAGTCTAAGGTTTTCCAGCATTGCCTATGACTAGGTGTGAGTAAATATGGGGCATGACATCTAAATTTCTTTCTACAATTTACCTTACCTACTAATGTTGACAGTTTTATCTGATGGGCTACTATATCCCATCTCTGAATTGGTTCTAAATTCAAAGTATGAAAAGGCTGAAACCCACAGGTAGAAAATAGCTGAATTTTACCTCTGAATATTTTTATACTGGATATCATCACCCATTAAAAACGGAAAAGAAAATAAACTGAAAAATGCATAGTTAAGCATTTAATTTAAATAATATAATTTCTCAAACTGTCCAAAAGAATGGGATACACACTATCTCCTGGACTACTGAACTACTGAATGATAAAACCGAAGTGCAAAGTATCTAGAAGGCAGAAATAAAATGATCCATCAGGCAAACCTACACATCTTTCTTTTCTTTCATAGATCAGCTCTACTCCAGCTAAACAGTGAGGCATATCTACCAGGATGACAACTTAAGTTTAATTTTAGATAGGTGGTTCAAAGCCATCTTCTCACAATAATGAAACCTCAATTCTAGTACTTTTATTAATTCCCACTTCATGACAAAAACACTGTATCATCTACAAAAATATGCTCTTGAGGAGAAGGAATGAATTATGAAATGCATGTGTCCAGTTCATCTAAGAGATCAAGTTTAAAAAAGAAAAAAAAGGCAGAGAAGCTAAAATACAGCCTTGTTTACTCAATTTAAAATGACCATGTGAATCACCATGAGAACATTCCTACTGTCGCTGACTATATGGCAAATATAAAATCGACTTCTAAAAATGTATCCACATAGCCCTGGCCGGTTTGGCTCAGCGGTTAGAGCGTCGGCCTGCGGTCCTGAGAGACCCGGATTCGGTTCCCGCTAAGGGCATGTACCTCGGTTGCAGTTTGTCCCCGGCCCTGGCCCTGGTCGGTTGTGCGGGTGGCAGCCACTCGATGTGTTCCTTTCACGTCGATGTTTCTCTCTCTCTCTCTGTTCCTCTCTCTCCCTCCCACTCCACCTGAACAAAAGATGGAAAAATGTCCTCAAGTAAGGATTAAAAAATAAATAAATAAATAAATGTATCCAGCCCTGGCCGGTTTGGCTCAGCGGTTAGAGCGTCGGCCTGCGGTCATGAGAGACCCGGGTTCAGTTCCCGCTAAGGGCACGTACCTCGGTTGCAGTTTGTCCCCGGCCCTGGTTGGTCGTGTGGGTGGCAACCACTCGACGTGTCCCTTTCACGTCGATGTTTCTCTCTCTCTCTCTCTCCCTCCCACTCTATCTGAACAAAAAATAGAAAAAATGTCCTCGGGTGAGGATAAAAAAATAAATAAATAAATAAATGTATCCACATAGACATGAAAGGCTATTTCTCTACTCTTCTTAATTGGGTAAATCTTTCTATTGACACAAATCCATTAATATAATCTGAGAACACAAAATAGTCTCAGCATTAAAGGAAGTATATGATTAAACCACCACAGTACTTCCAACTGAGGTATAAGACATATCTCATTAAAAGACACTTATCTGAGGCAGCTGAATTAATTATGTTTGTACTAATTTTACATCAGAAAACACAACATCCATGCATTCTCTAACAAAAAGAACAGCTATAGGAGCTGCTGCTGCTGCTACAGCAGTGGGAAAATGAAATTATGGTTTAATTAAGGGCTCAAGCCAAAAATTAAATCAAGGAGTTCCCATTTAAGTTACACGGAATGATAGGTCCAAACCTGGGCCTAAATCAAAGTTATACCAGCACCCTTAATCTAACAGCTCAGCAAATATAATAGGAAAAGACTTTGGATACAAGTATCAAAAGAAAGGGGAGGGCGAGGCACAAGTGCAGATGCAGTTCAGGTGACTGCTGCACTACTTTTGTATCCTTGGTGAGGCCACGGTTGCCACATCAGAACTGATGTGGGGCCGCCACCTGCGTTGCATTGCTGGCTTGCAGTTCCCACCTCCTTGTGTCCGTAAGCAGTGATGAGGCCACTACGTAAATCCCTTCACAGTGGGATTAAAAAACGAAACAAAACAAAACGAGGAAGGAGCAAAGCATCAATTACAAATGTCTTAATAATAAAAAAAAATGTGGCAGGAAAAGATATATTAAGAGAAATCTAAAGAAAAATTGGGCAGGCTCTAAAATCCACTGAGATAGCCAAAATGGTGAAATAAAGAAATAAATCCCAAATGCAAGAACAAGAAAATTCTACAG